TCATCTCTGTCACTGTAACAATAAAGCAGCCACAGACAATTCATAGATGAATGGGCGTGGCCATGTCTCAATAAAACTTTATTAACAAAACAGGTGTCAGATTGGATTTGGTCCATCAGCTGCTGTTGGCTGACTCCTGCTAAGCTGATGAAAAGAAAGCATGAGGTAAGGTCTCAGGACTAGACTGGAGGCTTGCAGCCAGTGCTCCTAATAACCATTATTAATTTGTAGGACTGTCCACATCTGATTGAAAGGGGGGTCGCTCTGAACCTTTACTCTTGACTAATCTGCTTACCTCTTGTTGATATCCTCCTACTGCCCTAACTAGTAGAATATCATTTATCTTTATCGATGAGAGACTGAATCCTAATTCCTAAGCTGAAGTCTGCCATGAGCTCAGTCTCTTTCTACCAATACAGAACACAGCTTAATAAAATTTAGATGGTTATTTTTTCCATTCTGTACAAATTTTGAAAACTGTCATGGTTTCCCCCATATCTGCCTTTGAACCAGAACTGAGTTCTTCTGGCATTACTGCATACTCTGTTTAAATACTATACAGAAAAAGTGTGAGTATACTTTAGCACGACGAGGCTACTGTAAACTTCTGCGGATCCTTTATTACTGTTTCGCATTATGTGGAATGAATGCGTTTCTTATCCTGAGTTCTTCCTGTCTGCCCTGTTCTTGGTCTTAGTTCAAGTGTTAACTCATGAGTGCCAATAACAAGAACCCTTGGATGTCCCTTCCTGTTAGAGAAGGTAGAGAGCTGCAGCATGCAGATTTTCTGCTCATGCTGAAAGTTACGACAAGGCACTTACACGGCTTCAATGACTGCAGATAAACAGAGAAATCTTTGTGAGTGGCGCAGATGAATTTTTCCATTCAATTGTACACGCTGTTCTAAGAGTTTTGGGGACCATATGTCTTGCAAAGTCCAAAATGTTTACTATCTGGCTTTTCTACAGAAAAAGTCTGCTGGCCCCTAAAATATAGCTTTGCCTCCAGGGAGGACGAATACTGTTGTGGTGATGTGTGTCAGGAGGGACGGTAAGCTGAATGCATCATGAGATGTAGTATAGAAGAGAAATGACTTGGCTACTAAGAAGAGGTGAGAAGCAGATAACATAGTATACTGTCGGCCTCGCAACGAAGATGACACACATACTGAAATAAATACTCGAGGGCTTTGTGTTGCAGGTACATAAGACACTGTTGGCAGGGCAGCACACAGCTTTCTCAATAACGGTGATGAAGGAGGACGAAATGAACAACAATGCTGTTACGGACACTGCGAGACATTGTTATAATTGTCAAAATGACCGTCTTATAATCATTTCTGATTTAGCCAGTGCTGTTTCTTAATTCATTAAATGTATTTAAATCTCTTCGAGTGTGCTAGCACAAAAGCTAGTATTTGACACTGAACTATGAATACAAAGCATGTTGAGAAGACACTGTTTTCAACTAATGTCGCAGCCCTCAATTCTAACTCGTCTGGACATTTGACTAATCCCAAATTATCCTCTGATCTAGAGAGTTCAGTATACGTTCATGAAAATAAAGAAGCTAAATGAAAACTAAAGATGTAAATAAAGGGTCTTATTCTTTCTTTTCTTCTTTTCTTTTTTTTCCAAAGAAATGAGACCTCTCCAAAAGGGAATTATCCCAAAGAAGTGAACTACGCCACGCTTTGGATCATGAATACCATATTTCTGTTGGACTTTACCTGCCATCAAATATCTGAGCGTCTAAAAGAGCATGTCAGAATCTCAGAAAGAGCTAAATGGACAGTGTATTGGTTTTTTGTTTTTTTTTTAGGATAAATTGAGACAAAAGCCATTATGATGTTTTTCTAGACTAGCCAAGAATGTATGTGGGAAGAGAATATAAAGAGATAGATACTCGGGTCTTTCCTCTATCCCCCAAACAGCAACCGCAACTACATAAGACCTGGGGAAGATTAAGAGGAGAAAAGAAGGCAGGGGAAGAGGAAGATAAAGTGGGACAGGAACGTGGGAAGGGCTTACGGGAGCTGTTGGCTCTGCAAAACTTTATAGCTACTGAAAGAGCAACAGGAACACCCCACCCTTCCTCCACCTGCCCCCCACCCCTGGCGAAGCATTGAGTTTGGCAAGATAAGCTGCTCTAAGAGAAACAAACTGTGAAGTTACTGAACTTCCTGGTCTTTCTCAGCGAACACTCCCCACCTAACTCAATTAAAGAGACTGAGAAAACAAGCCTGGCATGGAAGTGGGTACATAGCATATCCAGGGCGTGGCGGCACTTGCATAATTCAGCTTCTCAAAACAAAGCAAATCTTCACAGGCACAGGCATGCAGGTATGTTAAAAACAAACAAACAAAAAAAGGTGGGGAAGAAGGGGCGAGGATGGAGAGAGAGGAGAACAAGGAGGAGAAGGAAAGAAGGAGAAAAGAAACTAGAAAAGGAGAAAAGAAAAAGGAAGAAAGCAGGGTCAAATGCATTAGTTATTAATTCACCAGACGACTTCCCCTACCTTCTAATATGTTAGCAATTAAAAGAAAAGTGCCTTATGATCAGCTCGTCGTCTATATTCCGAGCCAAGTCACACTATCCAAAGAAGTAAAGAAAACACAGTTACAGCTGACTCGGGAGCCAACTGACTGAAGCGGTCCATGCAGACGTGTGGCTGGCCACCCTGGCAACAAGGATTTGCCGGTCTCTCCCAGCTGCCTGCCGCCAGCTGTGCTCTCCAGTGCCGAGTGAGTCGACCTGGCTAACCAGAGGTTATTTTCATCCTTGGTTTATACTCCCTGCCCCACTCCCTAGTCTTCTCATACTTAACAGTGCTATAGGAACAGAGGGGCTGGTGGCAGCTTTCATCAGTCATCGAAAGGCAGAAGGGGTGTCGTAACAATCCTGTAGGGTTTGACACCCGAAAGGGCAACCTCTATAGATATTAAATTTTGATTAAAATTCCCAGTGAGCATGACATCTAAGATGTGCTCTGAACTCCCCCCTCGCTCCTTGTTTCATGTCATTTCCCACTTCCTCATCTTCTGTCCTTATTTGTATATCTCTGCCGTATTCCTTCCTGTCACCAAGTTCATATTTATAGAAACTTTATTTAAAATTACTTGCATGGATTCTAGAGCCATACGGGAAGGTGCTAGTTAAATCTCGTGGAAAAAGTAGTAACAACAGCACCAGTGAAAAGTTGCTTTGTTTTTGCAACTCGCACAGCTATATCCAATCATTTTCTTCTCCTTTCCCCCAAATCTTCATCACTCATTGTAGCTGTACCGCAGCGGAACTACTGTAAAGTGGAACAAAGACTGTACATTTCATGGACAAGGAAAGGTTATCTGTCTGCTGCAAGCAAGCCCAGAAGAGAGGCGTGGGCACAACGTACAGAAAAAGGTGTTTAACTGCATCACATTAAGGAATTGCTCATCTCTTGAGATCACAGAGGATGTCGTTAAGAACACTAGGGTGCTCTGGGAAAGAAGAAGGAAAAAAGGCCTGTTTTGGTTTCTGTCATTAAGCTGTAATTTCTTGGCTAAATATCTTTTTCCAGCAGTTAAGAGAGAACGGGAACTTCTGGTGCCAGCCAAGATGGAATAAGCCCATTTAAGTCTCTCTCTCCTTTTGGTTATAACTAAAAACTGATCGAAATACAGAAACCACTGCCTCTGGACAAAATACCATAGCAGGAGGGTTGGTGAGGAAAGTTAAAACCTGAAGAACAACCAAGAAGGCAGTGAAATCGTGGAGGCCTGAAGACAGAATGGCGTCATTAATAAATTGTTTAAAGAAAAGAATTGTCAACTCAGAACTCTCCGCACCACAAAAACATCCGTCAGGAACGAATGCAAAAGAAAGCCATTCTCAGATAAGGGAAAGATAAAGAGATCACAATCCTAAGTATTTAACCACGTGAAATAAAAACCTACATTGGCACAAAAATCTATGCATGAAAGCTTAGAACAGTTATAGTCCTAATTGTCTTAAACTGGAAACAAACCAAATGTTTCTCAGCTGAGGAACCAAGCATGGTACATCCATACAATGAAATACTACTCGGCGATAAAAGGAAACAAATTATGGATGTGTGCACCAATCTGGCTGAATCTCAAGTGTATTATGCTAACTGAGAGAAACCAGACTCAAAAGGAGAGATACCGTGTAATTCCATTTATAGGGCATCTGGAAAAGGCGAAGCTACAAGGAGGGAGGACAAGTAAGTGATATCCAGGGGTTAAGGGGAGGGGAAGGGCTTGACTAAGAAAGGACAGCTACCGGGAATTTTTTTTTTTGGCAACCGTTGTCTATCTCCAATGTGGTGGTAATTACACGCCTCTAGCATTTGCTAGAACTCATATAACTATAACCGAAAGTATGAATTTTATACGTTAAAGACAAGTTAAAAATATGGAACTTAAAATCTTGGTGTACCTTCCTAAGGAAACTTTTTGACAATTCAATGATCTAACTTCGTAAACTTACATATTCATAAGCAGAAAACTGTAACCCCAATGTAATGGCAAATAGCCAAGCTTTCATTGAAATCTTTGTTATAAAATGTTATTTGAAAATAAAATCTATTTGGTCTTCACGCATTTTTGAGAAAGTCCAGAAACCTTCAGGATAGAATAGTACTACCCAATATGTGAGTTTTGACATCAATTTAAAAATTCTTGCCAGTTATATAAACCTTTCCAATTCCATGTTAGAAGCATGATTATATCATCACAAAATTTATATCTAACCTGGTGTTTGAAAGAGACATTATCATAACTGTTACAAAACACACACACACACACACACACACACACACACACACACACACACATTTTTACCATTAAAGGGAAAACACAAAAATCACACAGTGACACCCTGGGCTCAGCCGTGCTTTCCCTAACACTGACCGAACGAGTTTTTCTTGCCTGCCATATTGACGTACGCTCTGCAGGCAGCATAAAAAATGTTTGTGTATTAAAGACTGAACTTTAACGTACCCTGTCGAAGAGTGCAAAGAGTTGTCTCAGGACGTCCGAAACAGGCAACTTTAAATACTCTGCAAATTCTTCAATTCCGATCCTTCCCCCTTTGGTGGAACTCGCAATAGCTGCATATTCGCTCAAATGCTTACGGACGCCATCCCAATCTAATCTAAACAAAGAGTTGGAAATGCACGTCATTAGCTCTTCACAATCCACGTGGGCATTTTTTATAAACCCTGCTTTATTCATTTGTCTGAGGGAGACATTTTAAGTGTTAAAATTGAAAAAGAGAATTAAATGGGTATTTTTTTTTTATTAGTTTCAGATACACGGTATAATGGTGAGTATTTTAAAGCACATAGTGAACATGTACACAGGCTTCTAATTTTTTAAGGGATATTAGTTTATCTATAGTTTTCCCAACTATGTGAGAAAAAGAAAAGCAACTGAGAAAAAGAGCAATGTGGTAGAATAATAAATGCCTCATGACAAGAAAATAAGAAATCACATTTAAATCTAAACATCACTTAGTAAGTCAACAGTATTCATTGAGTTGTTAAAAAAAAAATACAGCTTTTGCTTTTAAGGAGCTTTCAGGTTGATAATGAATTCATATTTCAGAAAATGCTGTGATAGGGAGATTCATTAGACTATACACACTTCCCCTAATATTAGTAATGAGAACTCAGGATGATAAACAGTGGAATATGCTGTAGCTTACATCACATCCTTTCTTTGCCTTAGAGATTAAACACATTACTTAACGGATACTTTTTCTGTATCTCATTTCAGTGACTATCTAAACTTTTCATATCTCTAGGAATATTATGAACGTAACGTCCAAACATTTCATGTAGAAGATTTGCTATATCAGTTATCGAAATGTAATTTTTAATATTGAATTTTAACACAGTGACTGGTTCTGGAGCTCCCTCCCCAGGAGGATGCCGGGGTCTATTAAATCAAGAAATTCTGCAAATCGCTAATAGGGGTGAAAACAGAATGAACTGTAACAACAGGGGGATCTGGGGGTTACGCCTTTCATACCAGGTAGTTCAAAGGAATGTTCTAAATGGTTTAAACTTGATCCTAAGAGCACGAAGGAATGTTTTTTCCTTTAAAGAAAAAAATTACGTGCCCAGAAAGAAAAGGTAGATCTAGGGTAAGTATTTAAAATGTAGTGGTGGTCAGGATTGCTACTTTCCAAGTCAATTCATATTTTACAAGAGAGGCTCTGAGCACCACAGGCCAGTACCATCTAATTATGCTATCTTTCTTGCAAAAAGGTGGCAGGACAGACAAACCACTCTGAGCCATTTCTCAGTAGGGAGGCATCTGTATTCGCCCACGTTTACCATTTCTTGGTCTCCTGTGACCAATACACATATTTTTGAGTTACCTGTTCTCGAAAAAACTAAACTCGATGAACTAAATGGGAGATAAGTTCACAACCCTGGCTTCCCTAATAAACACCAGAGCTGAGAATCAATGAAATCAGAGAAAATAAACATACAAGAATTCAGATTGCTTTTAGAAACCTTTGTGAAAGTTAGTAATTTAAAAATATACTCACTTCAATTTCCGGCTAATTTTGGTAAATTCCACCAGCCCAGCTTCCATAGGCAATGTTAGCTGTCCTGCCGAAATCATCAATCTACAATCTTCGTAGGTGTGATCTGTTACTGGAATTCTCAGAGCTCTGAAAGCATTAAAAAAGCAAACTGAAATTCAAAAAAAATTCTTTTAAAAAGGTAATGACTTTTCATTAGACCTGAACTGGTCAACAAATAATAATAGTAAATGGAAAAGTATTTCCTACTTTTTAAACCAGTAGCTTTGGCTTTTTATTGCCAAAGAGACACGTTTCTTTACTTCTTTACAGACTTGCTACGCAGACATAATATCCTTATGTCCGCATGCTTCTGTCAGCTGACCATTTATGCTTTGTGTTTTAACTGCCGTTAACAATAATGACAGTTAGCTTCAGTCTCGTGGAAAGTAATGAGAAGACTTAGTCCTAGCGGTGGACCTTTAGGCACTTAACCTAAGGCTCACCGTTCTCATC